ATGTTTATTTTGTTCCCTAATTAATTCTTTATATTTTGATTTTTTACGCTCAACGCTTTTTTGAAGATTTGATTCGAAGCCGACTGTAAGTTCGACAATATAGAGTGTCCCGGTTGAGGTTAAAAGAAGCAAAACTGGACGGTAGATGTCACCAGTGATGATTGATGTGCAAGTGCACCCCTTGCCTTTTGCATTTTCAACTTTGTGGGTGCAGTGCGTGTGCACACTATGGGTGTAACGGTTGCACAAAACTTTTACAACAAACAGAATTAAACATCGTTCGAGGATGTATGTGGGGGTGTTCCACCCCCCAGTCGTCAGGAATTTGGCAAAATTGTTATCCATTTAACGAAGGGTGAAACGGAAAGCATTAATTATGGAATTTGTGGCGAGAAATTACAGAGGAATTGTGCCTAAATAATTGTATTTGGTCCGAAAACATTTGGTGACGGGGAGGGAGGTTGACCCGATTGTAGGATCATGACGCCCTTTCATTTTCATTGGTGCCTTTTATTAGGGAGTATGCCCTCTTTTTAACCAAATGCACCCCTTGCCCTCAGCAACTTCCGGCATCACTGCATCGCGAACAGTCTGAAGTCGGTGATAAACCCCATCTTGCAAGGTTTTGGCTAGCCTGCGAACAGGCTCTCTTTGAACTCTCTTTGAAATTTGAGAGAGAGCCTGCAGGCCTAGCTAATAAAAACGCGTCTGTGCGTTGCTTAGAACGACGCAGGGTTCCCATTGGTTGAAATTGAATTAACTACATTATACTGCCATAAAAGGTAATTAAATTTACACAACAATAGATTCAAATAAAAAATATCGTTCTATAGCGACGAGTTGTATCGAAAACTAAATCTTTGTTTAAAGTTACAGTAAAGGATGGGCAGTCAAAAGTTCTTAACAAAATTCTAGACGGAAACGATTGGCAAATACAACGGCAACGTTTTTATATCAACAATAGCATCTTTACTCTAAGACAAAGGCGACTATAATTTGCATTCTTGAGCATTCTAGTACGCCGTAATTGTTCAAACTCAAGTCGTTGCGGTGTTTATGTGAATTCACTTACTATTGCTACTTCAGGGAATTTCAGGGTTGTTTGAAAGAAAGACAAGTGCTTTTAATGTTGTAAACAATCATGCGTTGAAATCGAGATATGCGTTTTGTTTACATATATTCGCAGGCTATTACATAAGGGGCGGACCATTAGAAATCCCGGGAGGGGGGGTGAAAATTCCCCAAAAAAAATTCGTGCAAAGAAAAATGCCTGGAAAAAAAATTCGTGCAGCCATTACGTCAGAGAAAAAAAATTCGTGCAAGCAAACACCAAAGTCATGGGCGTACCCATAGATATAGGAGATCTAGATTGCTAACGCATACCTAGCGCAGGCGGGGCCTACATGATAAATCCAAGATGGCGGTACAAGAGGGCAAAAAGACAATAGATTCTATTACGAAAATCAAGAGTTTTGCATTTTTTGCCGTCGCATTGTTTTGAAACTTATTCGGTCAAATTTTATGGTAAAGAGAAACGTACCGCGAAGATTTTGAGCATACATATGATTGAATTGGATGAGAACTCGCAAAATTATCCAGCGATAAAAGTTCGTGTGAAATGGTCAGTTGCTCAGTTGGAGCGTTTTATTGCCAGAAATACTGTGCTATGTTAACATCTAGTCTTTGTTGAAGCCATGACTTTAGAACACCGTATTTGTAATGAAATCACTCTTTATTTCCACGTTTATTACAAATGTAGTTTTGTACAGTAAGTTGCTTTCACGAGGAAGTTCAACTAACAACACAACAATCCCATCATGCATTTGTCTCTCAGTATTACGTCATACTAATATTTGGATAACATACAGTTTTATATTGAACTCAACACCCTCACTTGTTATCAGAATATAAACTAAATACCACAACCGAACACGATACTTTTAAAATTATCTAGATCTAGTTTACATTTTGTGGGTGGCTTTGTTAGGATATCAACTACCATATCTTGGGTAGGACAATATACAATATCGATCATGCCTTTAACATACATTTCACGTACAAAGTGGTACTTTATGTCAATATGCTTAGAACGTTGTCTGTTAACTGGGTTCTTACTTAGTGCAATTGCCCCTTGGTTATCAACACTTACCTTCATACTCTGATGTACTTTCTTATACATACCGTTTAACAATTGAGTTAGATACAAACACTCTTGAGCTGTATTTGCTAAAGCTACATATTCTGCTTCGCAAGTGGAAATGGCAACCGTTGGTTGCTTTCTCGACTTCCATGAAATCAGTGGTCCTCCTTCAGTTAGAGTACAACAGTAACCTGTAGTACTTCGCCTGTCTTCCAGGCAAGAGACCCAATCTGAATCACTATAAGCAGTGAGCTGCAAGTCAGCATCAGATTTCTTAAAGCTGAGTTCATAATCCACGGTACCCTTTAGATACCTTAGGACATGTTTGGCAGCAATTAAATCTCCCGTTCTGGGGTTTGACAGAGTTTGAGACAGTCTGCTTACAATCCAACTTAAATCAGGCCTTGTACAGGTCATGGCATAAATTAGGCTTCCTATCATTTCTCTATACTGTCTGGCGTTGGTCAATTCACCACAGTTAAATTCTAATCGTTGCTCACATGGGGTTAACCTGGGCTTGCAGTCTATCATTCCAAATCTCTCTAGTATTTTAAGAATGAATCTTTTCTGATTAATTTTTATTTCACCCTTGCTTTGCTTAAAATCCATTCCAAGGAAGAAAGTGATTCTACCTAGATCTTTCATCTTAAATTGTGTCTTCATACTTTCTTTAAATTCTTCCATTAACTGCATACTATCTGAAGCTATGATTAGGTCATCAACCCAAACAATGACGATAACAATTTTATCATCAACTTGTTTCTTATATACACAGTGATCAGCATGGTTTCTGACAAAACCGTCATTTGCTAAATGCTCGTGTAACAATATGTTCCAATTTCTACCAGATTGTTTTAGACCATATAGCGATTTCTTTAGCCTATATACTAACCTCTCACCACTCTCTGAAACCTCTTCAAACCCTTGTGGCTGGTCTATGTATAACTCTTGAGTAATGGGGGCATGCAGATATGCAGTTTTAACGTCCATCTGGTGGACAATAAGATCATGTTTTACTGCTAACTGCATTAAGACCCTAATTGAAGTAATACTGGCTGTCGGGGCGAAAGTTTCTTGATAATCTATACCCTTTACCTGGCTGTAACCCTTCGCTACATATCTGGCCTTAAAGGACTCTATGCCATTCTGATCTTGTTTGGTTGTGTACACCCATTTTCCCCCTACTGAAGCTTTACCTTCTGGTAAAGTTGATAATTCGTAAGTATCATTTTCCTTCAGAGAGCTGATCTCTTCCTTCATTGCTTGCTCCCACTCCCTAGCTTGAGGTGATCCCATGGCTTCTGTGTAATTTTGTGGTAATCCACAAACTTTGTAGCAGTAATCTACACTAATGTGGGCACAATCGGCATTCTTAGGGAGGAGGTGTCCTCTTCTAAGTATCTGGGAGGGTTCCTTTCTCTTTGAGGATACCGTTTTGTCTCACTGTCATTCTCAGTATGGTTGCAATGCCTTCCCTCACTATCCCTAGGCTCCTCATCAGGCACTGTATTTGGCGGCATTGCATTTAAAACAGGGAGGCTCATACTATCTAAGTCTGATCTAGTATCATGATCAGATTTCTCATGTACATCACAATCCCTGCTGGACTCATCAGTTTGTGTGTGCTGTTCTACCTACATTTCTTGATGAATCTAATGAGTCGATGTTTCATGATTTTCCCATTTTTTGGGTAGTACACTAGGTAAGAAGGGCTATTTTTGTCGTATCCCACAAATACCCCCTTGCTGCATCTTGAGTCTAATTTCTTATGCTCCTGTTCGTAAGCAAAACATTCAGATCCAAAGATCCACATTTTAGAAAGATCAGGTACTTTCCCAGTAAGGCTAAAGTAGGGTGTTGTCTTTGTTCTCTTATTAAAACATCTATTCCTAATGTGAGCTGCGGTTGGAATTGCATAGGGCCAGAGAGTTTTGGGTAACCCTGATTGAAGAAGAAGACATCTGCCCATTTCGAACAATGTGCGCCAGTGCCTTTCGGCGGTGCCATTCTGGTGTGGCGAGTAGGGAGCAGAAGTTTCATGTTTTATGCCACGCTCCCTTAGTAGTATTTGAAACGCCTTACCTGTAAATTCTGAGCCATTGTCAGAACGGATGCAACTTACCTTGCCATGAGGAGTGATGTCTGCTAGAAATTTCTCTGTTGCTACAAAGGTGTCACTTTTACATTTCAGAAAGTAAACAAATACTGCTCCTGAGAAATCATCAGTAAAAGCTATGCAGTACTTAAACCCCTCTCTTGATACAGGAGAAACTGGACCTGCCAAATCCACATGCGCTTTCTCCAATGATTTTTGAGATCTTGCATCAGGAATCCTACTCCTGCTGTTTACAAATTTTCCTTCTACACATGTATTACAACCTAACTTAGATGACTCAATTTTACCTGAGAATTTCATGCCCTTAACTACCCCCTGCAGTTTTATAATATCTTCAAAATTGCAGTGCCCTAGGATTTCATGCCATGTGTTAATATCATACGAGAGATTTACTTTATCTACTTCACTTACGCTATCGTTCTCATGACTGTCTATAGAAGTCAAATAGTACAACCGTCCATGTTCTTCAATTTCAACAATGGTACCATCTTCAAGGGTTAGCTCACCAGTATCTTGGGCAAATCGAAGCTC